TTAATCAACTCTCGTTTGGTAATATTACTAGCCACAAAACTATCAATCCTCGTACTTTTAAACCGGAACCGGGGGGCTTATTTGACCCACGGATATTTGGTCCTTTTCTTAATTATGAATGTTATTGTGGTAAATATAAAGGTAAAGAAAACAAAGGACAAAAATGTGAACGATGTGAAGTTTTAATAGCCGAGAAGAATCTCCAAAGATGACGAATGGGACATATTTCTCTCTCGGCACCGGTAACTAACATTGCTCTTTACAAGGTTCTGGCAACCAATTTGAGTAAGTTGTTAGGCATTCCCTCCAAAAAATTGGAGGACATTATTTATCTCCGAGCCTACGTGGTTATTGATAATGGTTTAACCAATTTACTAACAAAAGGAGAGGTTTTGGAAAAAAGAATAGACCGCTCCCTCATTAGTGATATTTTGCAGGAGATTATTCAAAATAAAGAATTAAGCAAAAGTGTTATTGAAGAAGCTAAAGAGTTAAACGAGAAAATCACTAAAAAGATTGATAAAAGTAACGAAGAGATAACGGATGTTGTTTTTTTGGATGACTACTTAGATTTCTTGGAAAAGCATTGCCGAGTAAAAATTTGGACTGGTACCGAAGCCTTTCGAGAACTATTAGTAGGAATTGATATTGCGGCAGAATTGGCAAAAGTAAAACAAGCAGTCAAGGAAAATCCACAGAAAGTTAGTAATGAAAAATTAAGGTTCTTGCAAGGTTTACAAAGATCTGGCTTGAAGTTAGAATGAATGATTATTAATAATCTACCAGTTATCCCTTGTGGTTTGCGACCAGTAACCAAATTAAAGGAAGAAGACGTCATTGCTACTAATCAGCACAATAACTCTTTGTATCGAATAATTTTGCGATGCCAAAGGTTGAACTATTATCTTGATTTAAATAAAAGTTCTGGAATTTTTTTTCGGGACATTATTCACAATGAAAAGAGAGGTTTGCAGAAGTCTGTCGACCAAGTAATATACGGCTCCACTTATAAACAGAGTGAAGTCAAAAGTTTGCTGCAAAGTTTAAGTGGTAAGGAGGGAATACTCCGTCGTTATTCTTTGGGAAAAAGGGGCGATTATTCGGCTCGTTCCGTGATTGTGCCAAATCCCAACCT